CAACTTGTTAAAGAAAGTCGTCTCCAAATCCAAACGAGATTGGTATGACCGTATGGAAGAAGCTCTATGGGCATATAGGACAACTTACCGCACACCAACGCAAGCGACCCCTTATTCACTTGTCTATGGAGTCGAAGCCGTCCTGCTACTCGAGCATCAAATACCTTCATTATGATTAGCTATCCAAGAAGGGGTCATTGATGAAGAAAATGCTCGACTTCGATTAGTAGAGTTGGAGGCTCTTGATGAGAAGATGTTGGAAGCTCAACAGAGTCTTGAATGTTATCAAGCTGGATTGTCTTGCGCCTTCAATAAAAGAGTTCGCCCGAGATCCTTTCAAGTAGGAGATCAAGTCCTTGCCGTACGAAGACCCATAATTACTTTCCATAAACCTGTAGGGAAGTTCACTTCAAAATAGGATGGGCCATATGTCGTACAAGAAGCTTACTCAAGTGGGGCTTACAAGTTGGTTGATGTAGATGGCATGAGAATATGCCCTATAAATGGCAAGATTTTAAAGAAGTATTATCCTTGAAGTTGCAACGCTCCTTGACACAGGAGCCTAAACTGCATGTTGCTACACTCCTAGCCCGCATGAGTCTAAACTGTGTACGGCCCAAAAAAAATAAAAAGTCCACTAGGTTGAAAACCTCGTAAGGTGCGGCCTAGGCAAAAGTTAGGACATAAAAAAATAAAAAAAATAAAAAATTACCCATTCTGAACTACGGTATGACTTGATCCTCTTCACCGAGGTATGTAGGCAGCTTAGAGTTCATTCTAAGTTCAGTTGCATAAGTTCAAAAGATACATATTGCCCCAATGGTTGTCCGAGTGAAGTATGAAGGAATGTAAAATCAAGCTGAAACGCCATCCTCCTGTTGAACTTTGATCTCATTTGATATAAAGGGGGCAAGCTTCCATGGTAAATTGGTGTCTTCAATGGAATGATTATAGTCTTTTAGGGGGCTACCAAGTATTTGCAATGAGGCCTGGAGATTCGTTATGCCTTCAAGTTCGCCAAACCTTCAAATTTTTGGTCTTCAAGTTGAAGTCTGCAAATCCGCCAATCTTTAAGTTGAAGTATTTAAGCACTCCAAGTCCATCGGTCTTCAAGTTAAAGTCCTTAAGTCGACCAGAATTCAAGTTGAGTTGTTTAAGGCCTCCAAGTCTTTAAGTTGAAGCCTTCAAGTCTGTTAACTCTTCAAGTTGAAGTTTAAAGTCCACCGCTCTTCAAGTTAACGCATCAAAGTCGGCCAAATCTTCAAATCCGTCAAGTCATTAAGTTTGTCGGTCTTCAAATCCACCAAGTCTTTAAGTCGAGGCTTTCTAATTCTCCAATTTTGAGGTGGACGTTTAAGTCCCTTTGCACCTTAAGTTGGTCCCTTTACAGGTTTGTCCTTAAAAGGAACTTTAATTTTCTAATCTTAACGTGGACGCTTAAATCCCTTTGCACTTTAAGTTGGTCTCTTCACGGATTTGTCCGTCTATATGGTGATGTAGATGTGTCCATCTATATGTTTATGCGGATTTGTCCGTCTATATGGTGATGTGGATGTGTCCATCTATATGTTGATGCGGATTTGTCCGTCTATAGGTTGATGTGGATTTTTCTGTCTGTATGTTGATGTGGATTTGTCCGTCTATACCTTGAGGGGGATTTGTCCTTCTATATGTTGATGTGGATTTATCCGTCTATATCTTGAGGGGGATTTGTCCATCTATATGTTGATGCTGATTTGTCCGTCTATATGTTGATGCAGATTTATCCGTCTATATGGTGATGGGAATGTGTCCATCTATATGTTGATGCGGATTTGTCCGTCTATATGTTGATGTGGATTTCTCCGTCTATATCTTGAGGGGGATTTGTCTGTCTATATGTTGATGCGGATTTGTCTGTCTATATGGTGATGTGGATGTATCCATCTATATGTTGATGTGGATTTGTCCGTCTATATCTTGAGGGGGATTTGTCCGTATATATCTTGAGAGGGATTTGTCCGTCTATATGTTGAGGGGGATTTGTCCGTCTATATGTTGATGCGGATTTGTCCGTCTATATGTTGATGTGGATTTGTCCGTCTATATCTTGNCGAACTCCCTTTACTTGTAGGAGTACATCTTGGATTTGTCGGTCTATATGTTGATGCGGATCTGTCCATCTATATGTTGATGCGGATTTGTCCGTCTATATGGTGATGTGGATGTGCCCATCTATATGTTGATGCGGATTTGTCCGTCTATATGTTGATGTGGATTTGCCCGTCTATATCTTAAGGGGGATTTGTCCGTCTATATGTTGATACGGATTTGTCCGTCTATATGTTGATATGGATTTGTCCGTCTATATCTTTAGAGGGATTTGTCCGTCTATATGTTGATGCGGATTTGTCCGTCTATATGGTGATGTGGATGTGTCCATCTATATGTTGGCTCGGATTTGTCCGTCTATATGTTGATGTGGATTTGTCCGTCTATATGTTGAGGGGGATTTGTCCGTCTATATGATGAGGAGGGTTTGTCCGTCTATATGATGATGTGGATTTGTACGTCTATATGTTGATGCGGATGTGTCCATCTATATGTTGATGCGGATTTTGTCCGTCTATATATTGATGTGGATTTGTCCGTCTATATATTGAGGTGGATGTGTCCGTCTATATGTTGATGTGTCCGTCTATATGGTGATAGGGTGTCCATCTATAAGTTGTTACGGATTTATCCGTCTATAAGTTGTTGCAAATAGATCTGTCTATAAGTTGTTGCATGATCCGTCCGTCTATAAATTGTTGTGGATTTAACCGTCTATAAGTTGTTGCAGATTTATCCTTCGATGGGACGTCATGGAGTTGCTCGTCGACTCAGCACTTGACGACCCTTCTTGTTTGACCTACAAGAAAATGACAAAAGAAGAAAAGCACAAAAAAAGAAGAAGAAATTACCTTCGCGTCAATGCTTTCGATTCCGCAAAACTAGACTCAATATGGCTTGCAAATACTGTAAATTGATGCTAAAGAAATACGACACAGGGGTTTATATAGATCTCAAAGGGACTGCTGAAACATGAATTGCCGATGTGGGAGGAGCAATAGTTAGAGTCCAACATGAATTTGTTATCTTAATTCAAGTTGAGAGGCGAGAAGTCTGCTAAATCAAATTGGAGACGTACAATACAGTGAATTCAAATTAAATTGAAGTCTCAGAAGTCCACTCAAATTAGAAAAGTAGGAAGGAAGCCATATTCTGATTCTTCTCAATTAAGTTTAGATCTAACGTAATTTTTCAATTAGAATCTCAAAGTTACATTTTTGATTCATTTCAATTATTATCCTAAAACATCCTTTTTACGTGAAGACCAACGGGATGTTTGCAAAAAATGGGTAAAATAAAATAAAAACATGTGTTACCTAAATACTTCAAGCCTAGTCTTTAAAAGTTTAAAAAACTTTGACGAGTCTTGAAGTAGGGGGCATCTGTAGGCATGCAAACTTTATTGAATTTAAATGCAATAAAATATTTTGGACTATATTTTAAATTCATGATACATTGGTCCAAATAAATATTATGGGCTAATATAATTGGATTAATTATATAAGTCCAATACATATGGGCTAAATAAATAAGTCTTAATCCATTGGCCTAGCCCATTTAATTGGGCTAAAGTGATGAGTCCGCTTCATTAAGCCCAAGATGTCATCTTCCTAGAGGCCTAGTTTGGAGCCACGTGTCAAATGTCGTAGCACGCCAAGTCAAATGGAAGAGGCAATGGGATCATACCACGTGTCAAAATGACAAGGCATGCCAAGTCACTCTAAAAGGCCAATGAAACCGCGCCACATGTGCAAGTGACATGTTCTGGCCAATCAAATGCGGCCATGTCACACTTCAATTTGATTGGTCAGAAAGAGTTTGTTCTTATCATAACTCTTCCCTCCCACAACTATAAATAGGGGTCTTCATAACTTAGAAAAGACACCAGAAGTTATAACAAGAAGCGGGAAAGAGCTCGTGGATCAAACACTGCAAACTCCTCCACAAGTTTCAAGCTTCAAGCAATCAGGTTTCAATCTTCAAGCAATCAAGTTCAAGCTCAAGAACGAATAACAAATCAAGTTCAAGTTCAAGCTCAGAACGAAGAACGGATCAAGGTCAAGTTCAAGCAATCAAACTAAAGCTCAAGAACAAGATCATCGTTCGTGGCGACAACTACATATTCAAGATCAAGCTCAAAGGCCCTTGAATTTATTTACTATTGAAAAGAAGAATCGGAGGATTCATAGAGATTGTAACACTCAAATATTCGAAATAAAATACTACGATTGTTGCCATATTTTTCGGTCTTGATTTTATTTTCTCGACGCAATTTATTGTCTACTATATATATNATAATTTTTATACAATATTGTTCAACTTTCATACAATATTTAAATAAAAAATATATATATAAACAACAGAATACAACTTTTTTACAATTTTACTACAATTTCATAAATATAATGTATATCATGTCTTCTTCTTCTTCGAGTTTCAATCTGAAATTCAACCAAAATCAAGTCTAATCTTCACTAAAACACCTTCAAAATTAAGATATAAACTCCAAACCATATTCCCAATTGTTTGCAACAACACCCAGTCCAAACAAATAATGATTTTTAAAAACCCAAATTCGAATTCAAAGCTTCAAAGCTTTTTAATGGTTGTCAATGGTGGAATCGATGCTCTCTTGTGCAAGATACGTGGGGGAGGGGGTGGGAAAGGGAGAGAGAAACGTGAGGGGAGTGGGATATTGAAAAAGAAACGTGGGGGAGTGGAATTTGTACTTTATAGTCATTGTAGAAATTGATTAATTATTCTCAAATCCTAAAAATGTACATAATTGGTAATTCTATATATAGGAGGGAGGCTAATATAGTTTTCTAACAATGTTTATGTATGTAAAAATCTTTTCGATCTAAGGACTAACAAATTAGTAAAAAGTTAAAGCAAACTATTATAATCTAAACTTGAACTATTTGATGAACCAGCTAACAAACCAACCAGCCTTCACTGCAATTCACCATAACATTCCCTGTATGTTCCTTTGAAATTTTTAGCTTTTCTTCTTTCTGTTTTCAAGAAAGATTTTTACTGGGATTCGGATGTCGGTTTTATCTGCCATCCCTTTAATTTTAACTCACAGGCTTAGGTTAAACTAAAAGAGTTCAATTGGGTCCGGTTGAATTCAGAGCCCATACTTGATAAGTAACACAGTCACAGTACTCCGTACAGATAGCAATTGCAGCTACGACGGGTGGTGTCCATCCTCAACTTACTACCCAGTCGACGGTTTCAGCAGAGCTATCGACGGTGGTTATGCTTCTCAGTGGCCGCCTCATGCTCAGGTCTCTATCTCTTGCTTCATTACCGGCAACTCCTTCCCTTCAGGAAATTGCCTCTAACCACCCTACAGGTTTGTACCCATTCAATACGTATCCCTACTGTAAAAAAGAGTTTACTGGAGAGAAAAATATTGTATAGGCCTTTGTTTTTATATGGCTGAAGAGCAAGGAAATGCTCCTTATACAACTGCAATTATTCTAGCAGCTAATGCTATTCTGCTGCCCCAACCAGAGGCTGATCTACATTGTAACCTATGGGAACTAGTAGCTTTTGCTCATATATGTATTAAGAAATCCACTAAAATAAATATCTATAACTATTTGATTGTGAACCCAAGAACCCATTAACTTCCTGAATCCGCCTCTGGCCCCAATCTGATTGAATTGGTTGTGCAGGTGTTGCAAAAGTAGTGCTTAAAAAGGGCAAGACACAACTATTTAAGGATGGAAGTCCAATGGTTTACAGTGGTGCTATTGATAGAGTAATTGGTAGACCACCACCCACCACTGGGGATATTGTCCTTGTTGCTGATGGCACTGAGAAACCAATTGGCTGGGGATTTTACAATTCTACTTCTATGTTCCGTGTCCGCCTCATGCAGCAAGAAGAGGAAACAACATTGTACTATCTGTCCCGTTTATTTCTTTTCTTGTCCTCTTATTTTCGTCGGATCAAATAAATATTCACCGCTGCTGATTGCTATGCTTTGTGTAAAATGATGCAGAGACCCTTCTTGTGCCCTTAATGCGGAAAAGCTACTAGAAACAAGAATTGCAGCTGCTGCGGAGTTGCGTAAGAATCTAGGGATTCCTTCTACTCGCACAAATGCATATCGTCTTGTTAATAGCGAAGGGGACAGGTATATTTCCTTAAACATTCATCCCTGTTTCTCATGTATGGAGCCTTATTGGCACTAAAGATCATTTGATCATGTCTATGGCGTTGAAGTTTTTACATAATTGCTCAAGCAACTTAAATGACATCCCCACGTGCATTACAGTTGAGTCATTCCTGATTATGGATTTTTGGTACTCAGTCTGTGCAACTATTTTATGAAAAAAGAGGGACAATTCCAAATAAAACAAAACAAAATAAGATAAAAAAAAGTTAGGGAGAAATTGGGGAACAGATGGAGGACTGCTAGCTGTCAATGCTAGATGGACAACTAGTAAATGATTGTCATAGCTGTTTCTTACAGGGAAAGAATCAGTCGGCCCTTTAAAATTAGTAAAAATTAGGTATAGGCTAGCTATAGCAGTAATTTAACTCATACTATTATGCTCTGTATCTTCTAAGATGAAAACACGTAAAGCCTTCTTTGATAGGATCCATAAGACATTTTCCTCAAATTATTTCTCCTTTTCACATCTACAAATTGCAGCTTTTGACTGATTCCCTATGGAAGGTGTTCTACTTCTCATTTCGCTAGTTAGTTACATGTACTCCATATAATATGCGTGATTGTGAATATTATGATGTTTGCATTACAGAATGAAGAAGATTTAGCAACGTGTTAAAAATAAGACCTTTTTCTTTCTATATTTCTTTTTGAGAGTGAAGTTTTCTAGAAGGCAAATCTTACAGCTGAAGACTTGAGTCGATGTACTGTCTTATTATTTTAATTTATTATGCTTATTAGTGCCTAAGTTAAGAAATGATGTCCTCTAGCAGCTCGTGCCTCAGTTCACTAAGATTTCATGTTTAGTATAGGTGATATATATTTAATTTTCGAGGTGCGTTTAGTGAATAGGGAAGTTACAGAATTCTGGTCTACAACAAGCTTTTTGTGAAGAGAAATGTAAATACAATTGCTGACTTTTTGGATTTCCCCGTATTTAAAGGAATCAGAGGTCTTATGTGTATATTAGTACCTTCTTGGTGCAAGTAATGAAATTCTACTTAAAAAAAGGGGGGGGGGGGGGGGCCAGCCCGGTGCCGAAAGTATCCCACGTTCACGTAGGGCCCGAGGAAGGGCCGCACCCCAAGGGGTGTGATGTAGACATCCTACCGCAATGCAAGCATTAGGGGCTGCATTCTACTTATAAAATAAAAAAGGACAAAGGATTCTGTCCAGTTAATCTTTGTTTGTTGCTGCTAGTTGGTTCAGCCAGTTTTTGGCATAGTGACAACTTCAAATGGTTCATATTCACTATGGAAGAAGTTCGTGCAGCTTCTAAAATTCATATGGGACATGGATGCAGTTTCACCCAACCCGGGAGTGACAGTGGTCATCCTTTTCTTTCACCTAGCAAAATTCATAGAGGCAGGAGCATGCAGATAGATGTAGGCAGTTGTTTTTAGGGCAAATGTGTAATTTATGATGTATATTAGAAATACACATGTCAAGTTTATACAGAGGCTGTTAACATCTTGCATTTTTTGCAAGGGTAATTGTAATTATTTTACATGCTCTCGAATTTGTCGTTCAATTACTTCAATTGCAAGAAATCTGATATTTACTGATTGCAAAAATTACTGCATGACAGACTATCAGGCCTTATTGTTGATATCTTTGGAGATTTAGCTGTAATAGCTTCATCAGCTGCTTGGGTGCAGATATACCAGCATCAGATAATGGATTGTTTGAGTAGATTAAATAATATCAAACAGATAAGCTGGAGGCCAACTGTTGAAATCTTGAAAGAAGAAGGCTTAGATCTTTCTGATTTGAAAAAACCAGATCTAATCATACCTCAAACTAGGGTAAAGGTGAGATCTGTATTCATATGGATCTGTTGTGCCATTCAGAATTTGTTTTGTGAGCTAAAATCAATACGAAGAGTTGTTTGCTCGCATGGAGGTAATAAGAAACTAAGCCAAGAGTGTGATCTGACATGAAATCCTGTTAACATATAAATGTTAGATGCTAGGATTTGCAAAAGTACAATGCTAAATCTGACTTTCAACTTTTAGAGGGCATCTTGTGTTGTTAAGGAGGCATCTCCTTTTCATTAAGCTATTACTGTTGGTTTCAGAAACTGAACGCAAAATCGTAGATGCCTAATCGTAAGTAATTACAATTATCTTCGTAGTGTGATATGTGGAGAGGTGCTTATGTTGCACACAATGATGCTTTAGAAGCAGTTTAGGTGCTAAATATTCAGTGAGCTTTCTGCCTGTAGATTTGAAAACAGTATGCTATACTGGCCTATCATTAGCATCAGAAAACTGATCTAGTTATTAGATAATAATATTGTGGAGTGTTGATTCTGTTATCTTGAAGTTTATATTTTGACCTAATCATGTCAAAATTCTCTGGCCGACTTTTTAATTGTTCTCTCTTTTCTCACTTTTTTTTTTTACTTTTTATCTTTGTTGTTTGAGTTGCAGAATCAGTAGCCAAACTATTGCTGAAGTTAAATTCTTCTCGAGTTTAAAAGGTTGTAATTCAAACCTAAACCATGAAATATCCTCTTGCAGAAATGCAGGGTAAGACTGCGTACAATAGACCCTTGTGGTTTGGCCCTTCTCCGGACCCCGCATATAGCGGAAGCTTAGTGCACCGAGGCTGCTTCTCGTCCCTGGCCCAGCCAATAGTTCAACTTGAGACATATTTCTGGCACATAGATGACATGCCGGAAGTAAAGTAAGGGCCAAGCATCAATCAATGACGCCTTAATCTCAAACATCAGGGGTTGGCTATGTGAATCCCCCATATCCTTCTGTATGCTCTACGAGGGTCTTTCATTTCAATATTATATAGTTTGTCTCTTAAGGCAAACTAGGAGCTCTCTAAAACTAAAGTTCTCTAAGTCTCCCGGCTGACATACAAATCTTTAACCACATCACAATGACTCATGCAAACACCGGATCTGAGAAGGGTTTAGCGACAACTTGTCATTTAGGGTAGGGTAACTTTTGGGGCCATAGGTGGTGCCGGGACAGTACTTCGAAAATTTCTTTCCCAAACATTTACATGATTTCGTGCCAAAAGGAGCTAATAGTCCAATAAGTTTGGAGGCTGTAAGATTGTCAAGTCTTCTGCGGTTACGATTTAGGAGGAATTTCCAAGATTAGGAGGTGACAGAGTTCCAAATGTAGTCAATCTGTGTCGCAAAGAAAGCACTTCACAGGGTAGCATGAGTATGGAGGTGAGAGTGGATAACAATGGAGTCTTTTCTGTTAGGTGACTCTATGAGAAGCTTTTGATTAGGGAGGTGTTGCCTTCCGATGTAGCTCGACTTTGATCCGTAAGGTTTTGAGAAAGGTGTGTTTTTTTCCACTTGGCTTGCAGCAGGAGGTGTGATCTTGACGGCCGAAAATCTGAAGTAAAGGTAGGAGGTCATGTATGTCAATTGGTGCTTTATGTCTAAGGATTCGGGTGAAAACGTCGACCATCACCTTCTACATTCTCGGGCTGCTTCAAGGATATGGTGGGAGACCTTGAACTAGTTGGAAATCTTTGGGTGATGCCATCCATTGTGAAAGAGGTAATCTTTTGCTAGAATTGTGGTAGACGTTGCTCTACTAGTACTTATATAGGTTGTTTGAAGAGAAATAAATGAGAGAGCTTTCAAAGGTTTAGGGTTGAAATTTGATACATTTGAAGAGTAGGCGAGTAGCCTCTTATTCCTTCTTTCTTGTTGGTGCACTCATGAGGTTCTTTGTTGTATAGAAGATAGTGTATCATTCTTAGAGAACCATATGTTTTTGTAAGTTTTCTACTTGTTTGCCCAAACACTAATGATATTTACTTTATTAAAAAGTGTAAGTGTAGCAATAATAACTAAACCTTAATCTAACTGATTTGTATCGCTCATACGGACAAGAAAAACTAAATCTTATTTTCAACTGACTGGTATCACGCATCTAAATCCTTTGCTTCTATTTTTTTATGTCTTTAGCTAAGCCGTGTTAATTTAGGAGCTCGTAGGTCTCTTTTTTTTCCCCCCCAAAGTTGTAATATTTTTTTTCCAGAGATTGTTGGGGTTTTAGAGCTCATATGACTTTCTCGCATCATCTCCTCTATGTGTGCAACTTGCACCCTTTTTTGAATGTGATCATTTTTGGTCTTGTTCAATATTGTATGACCCCATATCCATCTTAACATCTATATTTTTACTACACTCATCTTGTGCATATGTTGCTCCTTACCAGCAAAATATTCACTCACATTTCACATTGCTGGTTTCACAACCTTCATGTAGAACTTGTTTTTCACTTTATTAGGTATCTTTATCACATAATACTGCCACGACTCTCCTCCATCTAAGGCCCGACAGTCGCTCACATATAATATTGCTGGTTCCAAAACGGTTCTATATAACTTGCTCTTTTTATGTTAGGTATCTTCCTATCACATTGTACCTTCATAGCACTATTTCATTTCAGTCATCCTATTTTAACCCCCCGTGTTTATTTCATTTATCATGTCATTCTCTTGAAAGAATGAGTCTAGATTTCTGATATATTGTCTGCATTTAGACACCACAATTCCGTCTAATCTTATTTCACCTCTATTCTCTTGTGGGAGATAAACTTGGAATGCATTTTTTTTGGGTCTTGGTTTTACTTATCCCTAAACCTTTGATCTATAGAGTGCTCTCCATTATTCCAAGGCTTGGTTGACTCTCTCATTTGTTTTGTCATCTACCCCTTCTTTTTGCTAATGGTATCAAATCTTTTATTCAACGTTCAGTCTGGGTACTGACAAAGATACCAAAGTTTGGACTTGTATAGATTACTTTCGGTCAAGTACCCTTTTCCAGGTTCATTTCGCACCTCTTTCTCTGAAGTTGGGATAGAGAGAATATCTTCTCTTAAGATAGAGGCTCTAACACAAGTTGTGCAGCGGGAAAGGAAAAGGAGGAGAGGAGCAAAGGCAAGATGGGAGGATTTTACTTCCTTTTTTCTATTTTGTATCAAAGTTTAATATCTTATATTTGCTTTCCCAGATCTCACCCTTTTAAAATGCAATATACCTATCCGAATGTTTCCAGAAATTAGATTCAATTGCATTGGCAGCTGGGTCAGAGTGCATTTTGAAGCAAATATATACGAGCTAGTGTTTACACGCATTATTAGAACTGACCGAATCACAACTTCTGCAATAGTTTGGCAACTACTCTATGATTTTTTCTATATCTGCATTTAACATCTGATCTATAATTGCATTGGAAAGAAGATGACTGGAAAAAAAGAACACTGTATGCTAAAGGTTTAAGCCATGGTGTGCGATGTGGATATACTTTTTGAGCTGTCGTATGAACTTTCCTGTTAAGTATTAATCTACGCTGCTGAAAGCCTGAAAGATTTGTTAACATGGTTTAATCTTTTTTCTGGTTGAGGTTATGGAGAATGGAATTTCATATTGGATATCCTTGGATGGCCAAAAGACAGGGTTTTATGCAGATCAACGTGAAAACCGTTGCTTCTTATCTACCATTTCAGAGGGTCGTAGAGTTCTTGACATATGTTGCTACACTGGAGGTTTTGCTCTGAATGCAGCATCTGGTGGTGCTTTGGATGTTATCGGTATTAATTACTTTCATTGTCTTGTCAATTCTTATCTGCAAATGTAAGTTACTATTTTGCATGTGTAACTCATGCAGTTAGATGACAGCAACAACATCAACAACTACTACACCTCAATTCCAAGCAAGTTGGAGTAAAAAAGATACAAGATTATAGTGTTTAATGAAAATAAAAATGTGAGATTACAATAATGTACAACCGATATATGTTCTTCGGACTAACATATCAATAGCTTCTTTCTCTTTTTCTTTCTTGTTCATTGCTCGCAGTTCATGCTTTAACATAGAAAATTAAAAAATTGTAATACCTGATCTTTTCCTAGATAACTAAGTAAAATGATAATGACATATTACTATGATAATTATTAGGAGTAATCATAGATAAAACTTGAAATGCCAAAAAGGCTATGAGTTACTATGTTTTGTGATTTTGATGTAGAGTTCTTTTATTAGGTTGTCTTCAGTATATGCTTTTTAAGCCATTTTCCTGTTTCTAGGCAAATGCTTCAGAGCTCAATCCCATGCCTTACAAAGTTAGAACATATTTGTTGATCAATGTCCTACCACCAATCCCATAGGGAGGTAACCTCCTTCCTCATAATTTAGTGTTAGGTTCAAACAAATTGGAAGGTTTTGCACTCATTGTTTGTCCTCTTCACCCCCTTGGTTCTTTGCCTTCTCTTCGATTTTGAATTCTCTCTTATTCCACTCTCGATCTCTTCAAACTATTCACCTCCATATTGCCCCAACTGAAACATCAGGCGGTGGTTCATTCTCTCTTTCTTCAAGGATTCCAGCTATCCTTCTATTTCTGAATCCATGGGGTCTTTAGTACTATAAAGCATTCCAAATCCCAATAATCCTTGATATAAGTATATAACCTAATCACTTTGATGATGCTGGAGCCCATGCCATTCCTTCTCCTTCTGTGAAGCTGCAAGCGAGAGGTAATTGGTCCTTAAATATTTATGAAAGCTTAAGAAGGATAGTGGGGAATTGAAGAAATTGTGCTTATGATATCGACTTGCTCTTTTAAACAAACATACTTAATCAAAAAAGAGAACCCAAACAGATAGGTGGAGAAGCCTCTATCATTTTCCTTGTTAGCAGACAGCAAAGTCAATCGCAGCATCTTATTGTAATTTCTTTCTTGATAAAACATCTTATTGTAATGTCTAGAAGCCATGTCCATGTCAGCAAGTCATTTTCCAGCAACTGATTTTAATAGTCACCTTTCAATATCAATCAAAAAGAAAGATGAAGTATGGATGTACTGTTTTGTAACAATCCTTACCTCAAGGATCATTACATAAGCGAAAGAGTATTCTGTTGATTTCAACTCAAAGTAGAATATTAGTAGTTCTCAACAAAATGAAGTGCGAAGTTACAAGATATTGGATGTAATATGCTAATCAAACCAACAAACTAAGTCAGGGCTGTAACCTCAACAACGATGATCTTTGGCAGTGATTTAACAGACTTTAGAAGGAGAAGAGTAAGGAAGAATGATAGAGATAAGAGATAGAGAGGTAGGGGAGAAGCAGAAAGGAGGGTTCAGAAGAGAACAACAGATAGAGAGAAGGGGATTTCTGTGTCGATTCTTCACTACCTTCATTCGCATTTCCCCTTTGTTTATACTGACAACAGAGAGATGATGTGCCAAGCTGTTGCCCATGTGACATTCAACCAGTTCATGTGCCCCTAACAAATTGAGGTCATTGCATTCCCTTCCCTTTGAATTTAACCTTGTCCTCAAGGTTGCTAGAAAATGAGTCAGACCATATCCTTGAGTTCAAAATGGATTTTTCTGTATGATGCTCTGACCGGCCGAACCAGCTTAACATTATTGTAAATAAATCATACCCGGCATCATTTTTGGAAGGTTTCTCCAACTTCCTGTTGTCACAGGCAAATATTTCATCCCACAATATCAATAGGTCTTCAAGTTGAATTGCATACCAACTAGTTTCTGGCTTGTAATGTTGTTGTTTAGCTTCTCTAATATTTCTTACAATTTCAAGTATATCTCCTGCTTAGTTGTATGAGCATTATCACCAGCAAGTTATGAATGTAGTAAACCATCCACCTCCATTGAACTCCATTGCCTTTTCAACATTTTTGTTCTTCGTTGAACTTCTAACTCTTTCTACATCATCCCACCTCTCTGCTCTTGCATAAGCATTAGACATAATGACATAGCCTCTAGCATGCTGTAATTCAAGCTGCAGGAGCTTCTCTGATGCAACTTTTGCTATTTCAAGGTTCTTGTGAGCTCTGCAAGTAGAGAATACTGCATCCCAGATCACAATCTGACTCCAAGGGCATGCTTTCAATAAATTTAAAAGCCTCGTCCAATCGACAACAGCATAATGTTTCATAGTGGGCTCAATCGAATACTTGCGCTTCATGCTATCAAATATCTGAAGACCCTGATCCACCTGTCCGGCATGAGAGCTTTCAGTTAAAACAACAAGGAAGAAACTCCATCGGGTTTGGTTCCAGCCAGTTACATATCTGTAAAACACTTTCGAGCTTTAATCTTTATCACCATGTCCACACTTTAGAGCTTTAATATTTATCACCATGTCCATGAGTTGCCCGACCCCGAATAATAGGATTTTGAACGACTCAGTTAATTTCATTGGAAGAGAGCAAAATCCCAAATCAATAGACTGGACATCTCTCAGACCTCTCATAAGTACAGAATCTCCCTGACAACTCCAACAACGCTAGCTCAATTGAAACTGGTGCCATTTCATACCATTTGACTGCATATTCTAGTTAACCAAATATATCACATCCAAAGAGAAGAGGTTTTAGTGAGGAACCCGATCAAACACTTGATTAGAGTTAGGCTCCTTCGTGTTGCCTCACCCTCTACCTTCTTCACCTTAGAATCAATAATCATAAGCACAGGGGTGCCCCTTTCTCAAGCTTTTCTATAATATAAGGTAATCTTTTTGGAACCCTCGTAAATTATAGCAACCTCTTCATCTGGTTTTCCTAGGTCCTAAATCCTTGGCATTGCATATTCATTCATTGTAGCCCATGCTCGTTTATCACTCCTTGTGCTGCCTGATTTGATGTCAATTTCTTCATCAAGTCCAGAACTTTCACTCTGATGTAGGTGCTAAATTGAGCTTTTTTTTTTGAGAAGGTAACATATTTGTGTATTAATATAAAGACTTCACTAAAATTGTGACGTCACCCATAATTACAAAGGGAGTGAACAGACAAAAGTACAAACAACTTCTAATCCCTGGTCTTCTCACAAGGATTCTAAAACATCTAAAATGGATTCATGATCCTCCAAAAGCTTTCCTTTACACCAAAAATAAAAAAGAGCTAAGCATTTCATCTTTATCTTCTGGATGTTACTAGACTTGTCTTCAAAATATCTTTTCCTTTCTTCCCAAATTGTCCACCATATGCGGGCTGGGACAATTCTCCATCTTTTTTTATCTCTAGAAAGTGAACCCTCTTTACTCCAGCATGCTAGAATATCAAGGATTCTTCCCGGCATTGTCCATGAAATTCCCCTTAAGCTGATGAAGATTCTCCATATCTGTAAAGTGAATTTGCAATGCAAAAAAAGATGGCTAATTGTCTCTGCCTTCTCTCCACATAAATAACATTTAGAGCACAATTGAAATCCTCTTTTGGTTAGGTTATCTTGTGTTAATGCGAAATTGAGCTTCAACTCCATATTTTTCCGCCATGGTCGTTAATCAGAGCTGTGCCATGAAAAAGGCTCTGGTACTATTTTGTAACAGTCTAACCTCAAGGATCATTACATAAGCAAAAGGGTTTTCCATTGATTTCAACTCAAAGTAGAACTACAGTAGTTCTCAACGAAATGAAGTGCGAATTACAAGAAAGTGGATCTTATTAAGTATGTGACCATCTCATCTAAAAGTTTAAGCTATTAGAGAGAACATTTGATTTACTTAATTATATTCTAAACACGCCCCTTCACGTGCAGGCTTGATTCTTTTTCATGGGCCAAGCACTTGGAAATCTTCTTTTTGATAATGGGTAGCGGTGAGACTCGAGCTTAAGATGTTTGCCAGCCTAAGTACCATATTGAAGGTCTGGCCATCTCATCTAAAATCTGGACACACTTTTATTTAGTTAATTATATTCTCAACAGGTCTAAAATGCTAATCTGAAAGCACCCAAGGGTGTGGCCTAGTGGTCAATGAAGTGGGTGAGAACCATGAGGTCTCAGGTTCAAATCCCATAGGTAATTTCTTACCATCTATCCAAGCCTTGGTGGATAGAGTTACTTGGTACTTGTTGCTGGTGGGAGGTGGCAGGTATCCCGTGGAATTAGTCGAGGTACGCGCAAGCTGGCCCGGACACCATGGTTATCAAAAAAAAAGAAAAAAGAAAAAAAAATGCTAATCTGAACCAACAAACTAAGTCAAGGCTGAAACCTCAATAATGATGAACTTTCGTATGATTTAACAGTCTTTGGAAGAAGAATAGGGAAGAGAGAGAAAGAGCTATAGTATTAAGAGATGGAGAGAGAAATAGACAGATAGTGAAGGAGCAGAAAGGAAAGTTGAGAAGAAGAACAGAGTAGATTGAGAGAATGATATTTCTGTAATGATTCTTCACTGCCTTCATTCACATTTCCTCTCTTGTTTATATTGATAACAGAGAGATGATGTGCCAAGCGTTGCCCATGTGACATTCAACCAGCTCACGTGCCTCTAGCAAATTGACATCATTACATGTTGATAAATGGTGCAGAGAAGAACACTGCAGAAGACACAATTGGAGCATATCTGTAGTTACAGGTGGTGAGAGAAAGGTACATAACTAGAGTGCAATAAAGAGGCAGAGAAAGACATCGGCTTGTTCCATTTGCTATTTTCTCTGTTTTCTTTTTTCTCTGATATTGGTTTAGTCACATGCAGGAGGATAATACACCCAATAATAACTAACACTTAGATAATAGAATTGAAAGAAACACTTGCTTCTCGCTTCCCCACCGCCTCGCTCTTATGCGTGCCATGCACTTGCTTCATACTTTGCACTTCACATTAAGCAAATATCATTCTTCGCATTCTCATCGTCATTGAAAGTAAGAACGATAGATTCTCACAGTTGTAGTTCAAGTCGGTAAGTTTGTGGAGTCATTCAAGAATGCGAGCAATATTTATCTTATTCCTCGGGGTGTATCAGAACACTTTCGTAGTTAATCCGACGTGCAATTTTTTTATATCTTGGTACTACTTTTTAAGTTTGCTTCTGGTTTTCTAGTGTAGTAAATACTCAGTGTTTTGAAGGTGTTGATTCATCTTCACCTGCATTGGAACTTGCCAAAGAAAATGTTGCATTAAATGGCCTGGATTCCCAAAGGATATCTTTTCTGCGAGAAGACGCAACTGAGTTCATGAAGGCTGCTGTTTCTAGAAACGAATCGTGGGATATAGTTATATTGGATCCTCCTAAATTGGCGCCTCGGAAAAAGGTAATTGAAATGTTTTGTATGTGGACTTCAGTGTTGATGTATTGGTGATAAATTTTACTTTGTTCTGAATCTAAAAAGATTTGCATTTGCTGTGTGGAGTGTAGGCATTGCTCGATTTCTGAGTTCTGGTAAATGAATTATTATGTGACGCGTTTGGTGGAAAGTGATTTACTGATGTGGTATCTCAAGTATTGGTTGTTGAATCACATGGCTAGTGGATTTGAAGAATGTTGCTTCTAGAATATTTCTGATAGAAAATGGTGATCAACTTATATATCCAGGACCAGTGCATGCAATACATTAACCATTTTAAGTAACTTCTCATGAAATTACAGATGACATGAAAGTCACTTCCCAAGAAACTATGTGGAAAAATTCCCAATGAGATGGTGAGCGTAGGATGATGCCATAGAACATCTGTTTTATCCAATGGGATGGTGAGAGGAGGAGGATGCCATAGAGCATCTGTTCTTTTTGAATATGCTTGGACTAGCATTCCTGGTTACTAACTTCCTCATTTGTGAGGATAAGTCATATTTGCCCTCTGTCGTCTTTGTTTCATCACTTCTATTCCATCTTAGTCATTTCAACTAATTGGCAGGAAAAAGCTTTTCTATGACATCGTGTTATTTGTTTAAGAGCTCTTTCATTTGTCGTCATTTTTCACTTGTTCGTTACTTAATACAGGTCTTAAAGAGTGCGTCTGGCATGTATAGGAATTTGAACTATTTGGCCATGCAGTTGACAAAAAGAGGTGGTCTCCTAATGACCTGCTCATGTTCTGGAGCTATGACCCAAAGTGGACTGTTCTTGCGCATTCTTCAGGCAAGTTAGATTATTTTGTTCAAGGACTAGTAAAAAGATATATCAAACACTGTTGGAATTTTTTCCGATATTATGAAAAAGTTTTTTGTAAAAAGAATTTTGTGTTTAACTTGTTCCGAAAAAAAAGTTTTGGAAATTGTTCTTCCCTAATATTGCAATTTTTTTATTTGCGGAAGAATGACTATGGTTCTTTTCAGGGGCAGATTCCGTACTTTACTACTGGGCCCTTTCGGACCTAGTATTTTGATGCGGAGTACATATTTATATGTGAATATCCACTAAAATTTTAACAAATGTTAGATATGAACCCAGAATTTTAGAAATACAATGAGTTCACTGTTAAGAGGAGAGAAGAACACTTAGTAACCTTTAAGAGTGCGGTGGCCAAGACACAGATTGATTACTTACTCTTTAGGAAGTGTGATAGAAGTCTTTGCTTGGATTGCAAGATTTTCTGAGTGAGAATCTCTCAACCCAACATAGGCGCTTGGTGATGGACTTGGAGATTTATGAGGAACAGGAAGAAGAGGGTTGTGTATGGTCAACCTAAGATCAAGTGGAGAGCCATGACTTAGGACAAAGCTCGGGAGTTAGGGGAGAAGTTGGTGGCTATGGGGGCCTGGAGGAATAGAGGGGACGCGAGTAGTATGTGGACCTCGACTGGGAATTGCATCAGGGAAGCGGCTAGAGAGGTGCTAGGAATCTCGAAGGGCTACTCGGGTGGGCACGAGGGACTGGTGGTGGGAAGAGAGGTCCAAAAAAGAGTAGAAGCCAAGAAAACCGCATATCTGTGGTAGAGAGCAAGGACGAGGAGGAGAAGAGGACGAACAGGGAGTGGTACAAGAAGACCAAGAAGGAGGCAAAGCTAGGGGTTACGGCGGCTAAGACTGCAATGTTTGGATGTTTGTATGAGGAACTTAGGGACAGAGGCGGGGACAAGAAGCTGTACAAGCTAGCCAAGATGAGAGAAAAAAAGGCTCGTGACCTGGACCAAGTGAAGTGAATTAAAGACGTGGTATGGCAGAGTATTGATGAAAGAGGCACATATCAGGCGTAGGTGGCAAACTTACTTCCATAAGCTCCTAAATGAAAAGGGAGACAGAGACATCGTGTTGGGTGGTATGGAGCACTCCGAGAGCCGTTGAGATTTTGGTTATTGTAGGCATATAAAATTGAGGAGGTCGATGGGGCTATGCATAAGATGAGCAAGGGGAGAGCGACCGGGGCAGACGAAATTCCAGTGGATTTTTGGAAGAGCGTGAGCAGAGCAGGCTTGGAATGACTCATCGGTTTCTTAACATCATTTTTAGGACGACAGAGATGCCCGAAGGATGGAGGTGGAACACGATGATTCTATTATATTAGAATAAGGGTGATATCCAAAATTGCAACAACTATAGGGTATCAAGCTGTTGAGCCACACTATGAAAGTTTGGAAGAGGGTGGCGGAAGCAAGGGTGAGGAAGAGTGTTTATTTTCAAAAATCAGTTCGGATTCATGTCAGGTTGTTCGACTACGGAAGCCATTCATCTTGTAAGGCGGTTAGTGGATCAGTATAGGGAGAGGAAGAGGGACTTGCACATGTTGTTCATTGATCTAGAGAAAGCATACGACAAAGTCCCAAGGGAGGTTCTATGGAGATGTTTGGAGGCTAGAGGTGTTCATGTAGCGTATACTAGGGTGATTAAGAACATGTATGAAGGAGCTAAAACTTGGGTGAGGACAGTGGGAGGGAACTCGGAACAGTTGACAGTGATGGGGTTGCATCAGGGGTCATCTCTTAGCCCTTTTTTATTTGCTTTGGCGTTGGGTACAGTGATGTGTCACATTCAAGGGGAGGTGCCCTGATGTATGTTATTTGCAGATGATATTGTACTAATTGACGAGACCCGAAGTGGTGTTAACGTGATATTTGGCTGTATGGAGACAAACATTAGAGTCCAAAGGTTTCAAGTTGAGTAGGACCAAGACAGAATACTTGAAGTGTAAGTGCAGTGACGGGACCAGTGAAGTGGACGGAGTTTGATACTTGATACACAACTCATCCCTTAGAAAGATAGTTTCAAGTATCTGGGGTCTATAATCCAAGGTAAAGGAGAGATTGATGAGGATGTTACACATCGTATTGGTGCGGGTGGGTGAAATGGAGGCTCGCATCCGGTGTCTTATGTGACAAGAATGTGTCTCCTAAACTTAGAAGGTAAGTTATACAGAGTGGTAGTTAGACCGACTATGTTGTACGTGGCTGAGTGTTGGCCAGTCAAGAATTCTCATGTCCGAAAAATGGAAGTAGCAGAAATAAGGATGTTGAAATGGATGTGCGGGCATACTAGGATTGATAAGATTAAGAATGAGGATATTCGGGCCAGAGTAGGAGCGGCCCCCATGGAAGACAAAATGCGGGAAGCGAGACTTAGATCGTTTGGGCATTTGAAGAGAAAAAGTACAGATGCCCCGATAAGGATGTGTGAGAGGTTGTCCTTGGTGGGTCTTAAAAGAGGTAGAGGTATGCCAAAAAAGTAATGGGGGGAGGTGATTAGGCAAGATATGGCTTTACTTCAGCTAACCGAGGGCATGACCTTAATAGGAAGGTGTGGAGGTCAAAGATTAATGTTGTAAGTTAGTAGGTAGTTGTGTTTTTTTCCGTACATTTCCATGTTATTAGTGGTAGGCTTGTATTCTAATATTGTAGATTTCTATCACTACATGTTCCTTTCACCTTGTTTCCTTTATCTTGTTCTCGTTATTGTTTGTTGCTACTAGTCTTTTCTCATTTTCTGCGTGCGGAGGATCTACTGGAAACAACCTCTCTACATTCACTGCAGGGGTAAGGTCAGTGGCAGACCCAGGATTTTCTACAAGCGGTTTTAATCGGAGAAATCCATAACTAACATAAGCGGTATAAGGCACGAGAAGCAAGTTTTTTTTGTCTTTATTGCTCACAACGTGATCTCGTAATAAAGTCCTCTTAAAGTCGGTGCTCTATATTTTAAACAAAATTTTGCTTATTCTAATTTAAAAATCTAATTCTATTTTAGCTAATTTATTAAACTTTAATAAAATATTTTTTTACCAATTTTAGAATTTATTAACTCTAAGAAATCTGATCGATTATAAAATCTTTTTAGCATTTATAAGTAACAAGTTACTATTTGCAAAAGAAGATAATAAGAAAAGAGTTACAAACTAAACTAAATTAACAACAATAATCAAAGAAAGAGAGTTTATACACTAAAAAAATTAAATATAAAAAAATGAAAAGAATTCCAACATATACTAAATTAAATTAAACTAACAAATGACAAATAATTTCAACAAATATATTTGCAAGTCTTGGCAAATTTTATGAAAGGGAGAACTAAATTACTTTCTGCGGTAAAATAAACTTCAATATAATTTCTATTGAATTTATGTAAAGAAAATAAACTATAAAATAAAATAAAGAAAACGATAAAAGATATACTACAAGGAAAATAATTTGATTTGATTGCAAAGACAGTTATATTAGACTATGCTGCTATCTTTATGGGTTTGTTTCCTTTTCTAATTCTTGTTGCAATTTATACAAACAAAAAATAAAGCAGGCACAAAACATGAAAGGGGTTTGAACACACAACCTCACCAATACTTTGAACCCGCTTGACCACTTTTGCAAGAGCAAAGCTTCTGTCAAGTGGGTTCAAAAATAATTTCTATACAAAACTTACCTTGCTTTAGCCGTAATTTATACATATATACAATATTATTTTTTGACGAAGCGGGTTCAGTTGAACCCACTTCTCACCACGTGGGTCCACCCTTGGGTAAGGTCTGCTTACTATCTACCTTCCTCAAACCCCACTTGTGGGACTATATTGGGTTTTTCGTTGTTATTTACACCAAAAATGAAATAAAAGTAAACAGTTCATCTTCAAAGGGGATCTAGAAGTTGAAGTTCCTGAATTACTATAGCAACTTCAAGTCAATGTTACAATAATAACTACGAATCACAGTCAAATACTTATATATAATTAGTGGATTAATATATATACATGGTCTGGGCAAAAGTTATTGGGTTCATGTGAACCCATAACCAACATTCTAGATCCGCTCTTGGTCAACTTGATCTTCTGAAAAGAGTTTCCTTTATCTTCAAATAACCTAGTGTTTCGCTCCCTCCAAACTGTCCACCATATGCAAGCGGGAACGGTTTGCCAGCATTTCCTTTGATTGGAATTCTTGCCTCTGATGCTTCAATATTTCAGTAGCTCACGAGTACACTCTCGGATGCTCCATTTTAGTCCCATGTTCAGAAAGAGTTGCCATAGCTGGTCCATAAGATGATAGTGCAAAATAAATGTTTGATACTCTCAACCTTGTCTCCACATAGATAACATCTGGAGCAGAACAGAAATCCTCCTTTTTAGAGATTTTCCTGTGTTAAACAAGCTTCTCGGGCTACCAAGTGAAAGAAGCCACTTTGTGAGTTGCATTTGTTTTCCACATACTGCATGGTTTTAGGACCCAAAATCCATTTGATGCCCTGAAACTTGATGTTTGATTAACAGGTTTGTTAAAAGACAATGTTATCTAATGGAACACCATGATATAATGTATAAAGTAGGCTTTAGTTTTTTTTTCTTTTTTTCTTTTGTAAGGTAGGCTTTAGTTAGTCCATTTTAACTTTGTCAATTCTTGCTCTGCTCCTATGTGGTTTTACAACGTCTATGGACAAGGACAATTGATAACTCGATGCTCTTTATATAGCCATGTGGATAGACAGAAGCTTGTTTCTCCTCCTCTGTTTTCTTTGATGGCGACCATTACAATACTGATTACCATGTCACTGAATGAAGCATCCTCACTTATTGTGCATGTTGGGACTGCATGAGCACATTTCAGGCAAAATAGCAGTACTACATAGACACACGTACATATAGTTAAAGACATTAGTCCACTAAGTGAAACGTTTATTCAGCAATAGGATCTATTCTTTGTGGTATTTAATGCAGCCGAGAACTTGTCAATTTTAATTTATGTCCTATTCCGAGCTTTAATATCTTGATCCGGTCCTTGAAGAAACATAGTTTGATTGATGTGCTTTCTGATTTGCTTACACTTAGGGTGCTGCATCAATGGCTGGGAGGAAAATCACTGTTGTACGTCAGGCAGGAGCAGCATGTGATCATCCAATTGATCCTGCCTATCCAGAGGGAGCATACCTCACGAATATCTTGCTTAGAGTGTTGTAGATCTTTTTGCATATCGAATGAACCCCTTGTTTACTAATGGAATCCTTTCAGGAATAGAGCAAGTTCAAGGTGTAAGGTGCCAAAGAAATTAAAATGCCATTTTTTTTTTTTTTCCCTCTTTCGGATAAGTACTATTAGTCCTGTATTACCTGTTGACGGTCGAAGTTGGTTTGTGCCGCTACTCCTGACGCAATTTCCCTAGTTGACTTTGTTGTTGAGCGAGTTGAGCAAGAGACAAGATCTCTAGAGGTGAAATGGGGGTGATCAAACTGACTTTCCAGTCGGTAACATTCTAAATTTCTAATTATAAGACATTACAACCAAGGGAATGAAAATGTAAATAGAAAATTTTATTAAACATAGTCGAGAGGAGTATATGTGTAGCTTGTTTGAATTGCCTCTTTTTTAGCACGTTTTGTTTTTCATAACTAAGAAATAAGAGCTTGACTGGAAAGAAAAGCACTTCTTTAGCACTTCATTCTCACCATTATCATTACTATGTTTCCTTTTTTGAAAGATTTACAAGAAAATACATTTGGCATCACACCGTAACAAAAAATGGTCCATGTTTTTAAGTTTTACTCGACCTAGCCCATATTGTACATATTTTGAAAGTACTAGCAAATTCAAAATTTATGGACTTAAATTTGTGTTTGCACAATCATTGCATTCACTCTCTTTTCTTATCACATCTTCTACATATGCTTCAAGGGGTTATCCGCCATTACTACATTTCCCCCTGTGTCACCTGATTGCAATGTAAGAAAATTGAAGAGTAGAAGTTCACCATTGAAGGCTATTCAAAGCTTTGTTTTCGAAAATAGAATTTTTTGAGTTTGTTAGTTGGGATTGTTCCAATTAATTGAAAATACCAAAAGGAGTTCTAAATTTCAATTTGAAGTGATTTTGAGTAGATTTGAACAAGATTTGAGTTAAATTTCAGAAAAGACGCAAGGGAAAAGATGCAGTTAGTTTTTTGTATAATTATGTATAATCTTGTATAATAGTGTATATGAAAGTATAAACGCATCTTATACACCTTTATACAAGCGTCTGTAGACGAACTTCTTCCGCGATTTTCAGTTGCAATTCTGGTTCAAATTCAGTCCAAATCTCCATTAAATGACTTCAAATTTTATATACAACCTCCTTATACTATTTTTAACAATTCTGAATAACACCCACTCCAAATTTCTCACAAAACCAAATTCGGAATCTAAACCCACATATTTAAACTTGTTAAAAATCTAATTTTCACCATTCAAACGGATTTGGTTTGTTGAACTAATATTTGAGTTATAGTTGCTGATTCGAAAATTAACTTAAAAGCTTGAACAATCTTTTTTAAAAATTAAATAGTAATTTCGAGAATTTATTGGAGTTGATGTTGAATCTTAACCTATTATTTTTGGGTTATTAGTCGTAAATTGAAATATATGCTATAAAATTGAAAAGTAAGGATCTCGGTTGTACCTATGTGAAATTTTCCCTTTCTTTTTTGCTTGAATGTGCTTCTCCTTCCCTACTTCGCCCTAAATAATCCATATAGCCTTCCCTTAACGGTAACATGGCTGTCATATGGAGTCCAACTGCGGTATTTCACGATAAAGTTGGACCCAAAATTTTTTTATAGAAATTTTGAGAAGTCAAAAAGCCAATTTACCTTGTCAATTTGGGACCAAAAGAAAAAGGGATTTTTTTCCTTCCTGTACCATATATGAAAGTTTATTACCAAAAATGTGCATATTTTGTATATTACCCGCCCAGTCCATATTCTACCTACAAAAATTGTACCATTCGAAAATCAGGCATTAATGGATCAAAATATTCCTTAAAAACGCGCTAAAATTTAGGAGAGATTCTTGGTGATAATTGATTCTACATTAAATTAAATCTTTAAAAAGGGAAAGGAGATTTCATATCTGCGTTTTTTTCTCCAGAACTACAATTCAAATTCTGAAAAAAAAAGGAACGAACAGATATTCAACTACTAACAGCTAGAAAAACTACGAAAATATTCAACTACTAACAGCTACTAAGATTTGAATTCAAATTGTAGAATTCAAAATTTTCGAGTTTCAACAACTCAAAGTTGAAAAAATATGTTCTTCGTTGTTGCTTCTATCAAATTGTCGATCAGATACATCTCTTCTTCATCTTTTCTTCTTTCAATCTAGAAATAAAAAAAAACATCAACATCGACAACAAATCATGTCCAAAATCGCAATTATGCTACAATTTAATGGCAATTGGGATACCTATGGCAGATTTAGGGATTTTGAAGTGGATGCCATTGTGGTATATGAGAATGCAAGCTACAGTACTCCGATCTCTACAATTGCAGAACAACTATCAATTGATACTGCTGAAAAAATTGTAGAAATCATCGTGAAATCAAATAGTAGATTGTATATAATTTGTAGACAAATTGTAGTTAATTTGTAGATTGTAGATAATTTGTAGATATAATTGTAGATACGTTGTAGATAAATTGTAGATAAACTATTTTATGATTGTAAATATTTTTATTGCTGTTTGTTATGTAATTCTTGGTGAGGGCTTCAACAGATCATATTCATATTGTGATAGATGGTGTGAAGCGGTACATGAATCCTACATTATAACTACTATTAACTACAAAAACTCTACAATTATGTATAAACCCAATTCTACAATTCAAACAAATTTACCTACAGGTTACTTACAGTGAATGTACAAATTACCTACAGTTTAAGTACCTAATATAAAAATAACTACAATTTACCTACAGTTACAGGGCAAACAGGAAACACATCATCCACAATCATGTCTACATTATATCTACATTTTAGACTACAATTAATCTTGGAATGTTCTACATAAACTAAAAACTAACTACAATTACACTACAAACAGTAAATCTAGATGAGGGCTTCAACAGATCATATCCATTACACTACAATTACACTGCAATTACACTACAAATACACGAGAAACAATAAATCCAGAAGAGGGAATTTTGTTTGGTACCCCAAAAAAAAAACTACTAAAGTGTATCTGTTGTCATTGTTTTGCTAGTTCGTGGCGTATTAAAATGTTTGTTGCAACTTTTGATTTCATGTAGACTTTCAGAAAATCAGATCACATGCCACAATTGTTGCAAAGGAAATTGGCACGACATTCAAATATAATGAGATTTCGCTGGCTAATGCATGTTGATTGATCTTGCAATCGTGGATGAAGAACAAGAAAGAATGTGGGGTATGGGTAAAAACGTGGGTGAGGGGGTGAGGGGTAAGGAGAGAGAAACGTGAGATATATGAATATCTTTAATTAAGGAGTAAAAACTGCCCATTAATTAGATATGGATACCTTTAATTAAGGAGTAAAAATAGCCCATTAATTAGACCCTTAATTAAGTATGGTATAGGATTGGTAATTTGGTATACTAAGTGTAATTTACTCAAACCTTAAACATGTAGGGTAAAAAGGTTTCCTATGTGGTATAGGAATGTAAAAATTCCTATATAACCTCCACTTATTCGAGACACAGGCAACACAAGTGTATCAAAATCTATCACAAGTTCGATAGCTAATAATCCAATTATCCAGATAACAAGCCAGAGGACACAGGGTTCCGAACACAAAGTACGAAGAAACATTCTGAACCAAACTATTAGAACTCCAACAGAATCCAAAACTGAATCGATCAGGAAGTAATATTCTTTTCTAGCCTCTCCATTAGAAAAAAAGCTTTGGTCTTTCATTTTGCTCCTTTATGGCAAACCTCAGAAGTAGAGCCTGTATTTTAGGAAAAGAGTACAGTACCTTTCATGTTTAAATGAACTCTTAAAGAGAGGCTTTCAGCCAATAAACCAGAGGTAAATTTGACTACTGTTATCATAGAAATACTTCATTACATATCCTCCTCTGCTAGGAAACGAGTCTAAATTCCACATGCAAACAATTAAAAAAGAATTTGTACAGATAGTTCTTACAATGCACAACCTGTGTCTCCTGCCCACCCAGACTGTAAGGTGCTCGAGCCAACCAGCCCTCATGGGCTTTCCTAGTGACCTCCTGGGTTTCGGTTCCACGACAAATAAGATGGATCTCCAAGTTGCCTGGAAAATAAGAACTTATCAGCTAAACCTTGTATCCTCCAAAGAACTTGGAATTAGAGTCAGATTTCCTTGTTTCTCATGCATATCAATCAACTAGCAGAAAAATATTTAGTATTATGGATGAATGCAGTTTTCATATCCAGCTTTCTCTTTCTAACATCCCAAAAAATGCCAAGTTTCCCGGGAAGAAATTCAACTGTCTACTTGCAAAATGCTCAAAGAATACTACATTTTATACTCCATCTAATTGCGGCAAAAGGAAAAAAATTATTTTATTTTATGGAGATGGGTCCAAAAGCGGATGTAATGTTAAGATCTGGCATTTTATTTGTTCAAAGATGGTCTTATGTGTCTTTATCTTTAGAAATGTGGAATGCACAAAACGAGAAGTATGCTAGCATTATTAGAGAGAGAGAGTACAGGGAGCCCAATTGTCCCTCTTCTCAATACAAATCTTTCCTTCGTCTGATCCTGAAATGTTAAATAACCTACAGCCTATGTATGTTCGCCCACTTAATTGTGAATGATACACACACTCATATGGAGAGTAGAATACCGGAAAATATGGAGCAATATATGGAGTTTTTGGAGTTGTTAGGAAGGAACATGAAGCAATATATGTATCTTTCTGTTTTCATGGACTCTTTCGTACCATCTTGGTGCTTTATCTAATAAAACCTTTACCTTATAAAATAAAATAAAAACATACTAAATTGTTCTCAAAGAACAATCCACCCCACCCCACCCCACCCCACAAAAAAAGGATTTCAACTGCGTAGGAAGGTGTGTATGCTTTGATCACCCAAAAAAATAAAATATGAAGGCGTATATGCCTTGGACTATTGACAGGCAATTCATATGTTTACCAATGAAAGCCATGGATCCTAGCAGCAAGGTAGTTGAATTAAACTGGTGTAACCAATTTTGGATAGACAACTGTTTTCTTTCTAATAGCATCACAAAATGGCAATTCGCCAAGCAAGTTAATTACCAAGTTTGGATAAGGAGCAAATAACGAAGGCTAATGATATATGCAAAAGGGGAGGTTTAAATCTATTTGTGGTCCTATTGTCATCTTCAGAGGTGCTTGTAGGACATATGCTAGAATTCTTAAAACAAAGTTCATGAACTAACTACAAATGGACCACATAGCAAGAAAAATTCAAGGTTGAAGAAGATAGAAATGGTACCTTGGCTTAACTAGATATATAATCATGAAAACCATAGCCAGAAAGATACACAATCCACCTACTGTGAGATAAGCAATACCAAGAAAATCATTCTTCCCACCAAGCC